TTTGGATGCATCCGGGTCACTTGCCTGCTTTTTTTGCGCAGACTGGCCCAGGCCAGTGTGTGTTCCCCTCTGCTGCTTGTAGCCACAGCCTCACTGCAGAATTTGCCACCCACCACCTTCCCGGCGGGGGTCTGGGGTCTGTGTTTAGCCATTTATACCTACTCTAGCTGTTAAAAAAAAAAAAAAAAAGTCCAAATGCAAATCAGGTGATCGTGGAACTGCGGGGATGTGGGGGGCAGAGGTGGGGACCGGCTGTGTTTGTTGAAGGGTCCAGCCTCATGGCTCCCGGGGGAGCCCAGGCCTGGTGTCACTAGCGCTCACCAATCAGAGGTCCTCAGCCGGCAGGGGAAGAGCGGTCTCCGGTCCCTGCAGAGGAAGAGTGGCCGTGCTGCGCCGCCCGTGACCTGGCACTCCGGCCCTGTCCTGGCTGCGCCCTGCCCAGGACGGGTCGGCCGGTTCCCAGACGCGGTTCTTCGGTTCCCCGTGCTCTTCAGTCACAGTTGCTTGGCTTTGGTACCAAATAGTCGGATTCCTGAAGAAGCCCCTGCCCCGAGGGTCAGCCCGGGTGCCGGGACTGCCGCCCGCCTCCCCGTCAAGTGCCCTCTGCCGCGGGAGTTCCAAGGTGCCTTCCTGGACCCCTCCTCTCACTGGGACCCAAGCGAGGCGACAGCTCTGGCTGGCTCTTGGTTTCCAGAGGGTCTGGACTGGTTTGGGTGCTTTAAATAGATTTTTAGTCAGTGGTGCTCATGGGGCGAGGGGATGGGGGGGGCCCGGAGCTGGTCGTAGACTTTGTTTTTCCTTCTTCTGTTGTCACCACTTGTCACTGTCTCGATGTTAAAATGCCAAAAATGATCTAGTTGTCGTTGATCTTCTTCCTGTCCTCCTACCCCAGTCGCTCCAGAAGTGACTTCTGCTCTTGTTGGGCATGTAAAATGTCTGTCCCAGCCAGTCCTGTGGCCTCGTGGGACATAAGCTTGTGTCGAAGACACGGGTCTGAGTTCACGCTCGTCCCTGCTGATCTGTGCTGGCCTGAGGTCCAGGGGACGGGCTCTGCTGACTGGCCTGATGTGTCCAAGTCACCCCCAGACGCCTTCCACTTGAGCCCTCTGTGCGTGGACCTAATCATTTCCCTGGACAGGTTTCTTTCCTGGTGTGTGGCTTGGGCATCTGTGCTCCTTGTACCCTGGAGGTCTTCCCCAAGTTGTGTGGTCACCAAGAGGGACAAGGACACAGTAGGCTGGGACCTGCCCTGTGCTGAGCTGGGCTCAGATCTTCAGGAACAAATCCAAAATCAGCAGCCCACCACCCTGTCCAGGGCCCCTTGCTGGGAGCCGGGCAGGAAAGGGGCCTTGCCGGGGAGGATGGTCCTGTGCCCTCTTGCACCCCTTCTCCTGATGTAGAATTGTCACATGAATTTCCTGGAGGGGGACACCCCTTAGAGCAGGAGTTGGGGGCATCCTGCATGTCCAGAAGAGGGTGTAGAGTGGCCTGGGTGGGGACGCGCTTTGTGCTCCGTGGTCCTGAGAGCTTCCAGTGTCTCCTGTCGGGAAGGAGGGTTCTCGAGAAGAGGCGCAGGGTGAAGGGGACCAGAGGACCGTGTGGTTTGGTCGAAGGTGCCTGGTTTAGTGCTGTAACTGTCTTATTTTTTTTTATATATATATTTCTTGGAGTAAGCATTTTAAATAAACGGCGTCGTGTTGACTCCGGCTTGGCGTCGGCGTTTCTTTTTCGGGCAGAGGTGCTGCTCCCGTCCCTCCTCTGCGGAACCCACCAGAGGCCGGGTCGGGAGGGGTCGGGATGGAACCCTCCCTCAGGAGGGGATGGGACCCTCCCTTGGGAGAGGTCGTTTATCTTGCTGGGATTGGGTATGTGCTGCAGGCCGCGTGGCTGGCGTGTCCCTCGCACCAGGAGACGTGCAGACGGCCGCAGCTTGGTCTGCCGCTCCTTCACTGTGGGCACAGTTCTCGCAGTTGCAGAGTCGAGTCCCTTACTGTGACATGGGCTTTCCAGCCATCTCGCCCAGCTGTGGGGTGACGAGTGTCTGGGCAAGGTGGAGGGGGCAGGCTGGGCATGAGAGGTGGCCTAATGGGCAGGTGTGGGAGTGCCAGGGGCTCGTCAGGAGCACGGCCTCACTGGACGCCAAGGAGCAGACTCTAGCCCGCAGCGACAGTGGCCATTGCCCCCTGGGGGGACCCAGGGCCAGCCCTGTGTTCCTCACCTCTGCCCTTCCCAGCTGCTCGGGGCCACGTGGGAAGGGACGCAGGCCACCCCTCGGCCGCGCTGGAACCAGTGAGCAGGGGCTGCCAGACACAGGCCGTGTCAGGCACCGTGACGCTTCCTGTGACCCACACTAAGAGTCCCGAGGTCCAGCCGTTACCTTCCCCCTTTCATAGAGGAAGGGGAGGTATGGAGTCTGCACAGCCTTGGCCACCCGGGGGACCCTGCCAGCAGGCCCAGTGACACCCCTCCCCACCAGGGAGGCTGGCCCAGCTGACGTGGGGGGTGGAGGACAGGGCCTGGGGCTCCTGGCCACAGAGCTGGTGTCTTGCCACCCGCCAGGCTGGCAGCCTCACACCCGTGCCCTCGCTGCTCCTTAGGGCCCTGGGGGGGACATGCAGTTGGGGGGACTTCCTGGCCCTGTCCAGTACTGCCCTTGGCCTGGGGCCTTTGAGTACATTGGGAGGGTGGGGACCTAAGAGAAGGTCACTCAGGACCCTTGTCACCATAGAGTGACAGTGCTAGACCAACCTCAGGAGCTGCCTCATGCGTTCACTTGGCGCTCGAGCGCTGGGGTGGGGGTGACAGTCCCACAGCACTGGGGACGGAACCCAGGGCCTCAGGCATGCCGGGCAGCTGCACCCCAGGTTCTCTTTAAATGTTTTAAAGGCAAAATGGAGGGCCAGGTGAGGCTCAGCGGTACAGCGCTTGCGCAGTGCTTGCCCAGTGTGCTCGAGGCCCTGGGTTTCGCCCCCAGCCCTGCAGCAACAACAAAGTGGGGGTGCTGTGGAGTCCCTGAGAGGGACAGCTTGGGACACAAAAACTTGAAGATGCCCGTCTTGGGGGGATGTGTGCTGGAGGTTTGGGACTTCCAACCCTCACCCTGCTGGGCCCCAGGGACCTCCATCAGCGCGCACTGGTGGACAGCGTAGCCCCAAGCCAGTGGTGGAGCCCAGAGATGGCAGCTCCCTGGGGCCAGGGAGACAGGAGTGCAGCTGGTGCTGGGGAGGTCTTCCTGCTCCAAGTTCAAGACTGAGCAGCGAGGGACGTGTGCACCAGGCTTCGCCCTTGGGCTTCTACAGGTGACCAGTCCTCACGATAGTCCTGGGACAGCTGCTGCCCTGGCCCCTCACACGAGCGGAACGGCCTGAGCTTGGTCTGCCTACCCTCTCGGATAGCTGAGGGCCTCTTCCCTGGGACAGAAGTGGAGGCCTGGCACCAGGCTGCTGTGGCTTGGCAGGTAGGACACTGGAGGCAAGGACTGGGCCAGAGCCTGTGGGGGCCCATCCCCCTGAGGCCTGTGCCTGGTGGACCAGGCTGAGGAGCCGGGAAGCTGGACTTTGGGTTAATGGTTGGTGCCTAGGTTAGAGCTTGAGTGTCACCTAGGCCCCATGAGGTCAGCCCTTTCCTCCGTGGGCAGGTGCCCTGGGGCCATGGTGTCTGGGACCTGGGAGCAGTGGGTGAGAAGGGTTAGGCCTGCTGGGGTCTCCCAGGGGACTCTTGCCAGGGGCAGGAGGGGGCTCAGGGCTGGCCTGAAAAGGATCTCGTCAGGTCCTGGGGACACACACTCTGCACTCGGGTGGACCTCCATGGAAGTGAGTGGGCAGGTTCCTCAGGGAAAGAGCCTCACAGGGGTGTCCTATTCTGCTCTGGCCCCTGGGCTCTGCTCTCCCCAGATGGACCAGAGTCCTTCACTTCGACTTTTCCAGACCACCTGGAGCTGTAGATTTGCCCCCGTGCACCCATAACCCCTATTGCTGATCTGTTCCTAGTCGGCCGCGTCACAGCCCCAGGCCAGTGCGGGGGCCACAGCCAGAGCCCCAGGCCAGTGTGGGGGCCACAGCCATGAATAAAACAAAGTTCTTGGTAGACCATAAGCCCTGGTATCCGCCACAGGGCCAAGGCCAGAGAGCAGCGCCCCGCCCGTCCTGCTGCCTCCGCAGGCTTCAGACCTCAGATGCTATGAGCACTGTGGCAGGCCAAGCCCTCCCTGTCTCACACTGATGCAGGTGGCAGCTGTCCCTCACCCAGGGTTGCACATGCCCACTCACATGAGCCCCATGGAGCCGAATTTCTGTTGCACAGGCTGGGTACTGAGGCAGAGGGTGGCTGGCTCTCCGTGGGCGTTGATGCTCAAGGGAACTCTTCAGGGGCTTCTGCAGAGATGGCTGTGTAGGGGGACAGCCCAGGACCTGGGCCCGTTCCCATCACCCCAGCAGAGGGCAACTAAGGAACCTGCCTGATGCCCACGGCCCCAGGGTCTAAGATCAGGGCTGGTTCTAGGCCCAGCCCTGCCTCTTGCTCAGCAGGACACGGTCCAGTTGGCTGCCTTCTAGGGACTGCTGAGGGTGTCCTGGAGAAACCACGGGAGGGGCAGGGTGGGAGCCACTGTGGTTTGTCCTCAGCAAGTCCCTTGCTTTGACAGTGGTCACTGCAGGTTTAGTGGGAGCCATTCCAGCCCTGCCCAGGTGTACTGTGTACAGGCCACACCTACAGACCAAGGAGACTAGAGAGCCCAACTGCCCAGCGGGCAGTGCCACCACCCAGGGGACCCGTTCCTTCCTCCAGCCACTATCCAGGGGACCCTTTCTTTCCTCCAGCCTGGAATCTAGACCCAACGTGGTGGGGGGCAGGGGCTGGAAGGGGGAAATCAGCCCAACCTCTTCCCAAAGATTAGAGAGCAGCAGGGCTTGGCCTTAGCCACATCCTGCCCCCCAGGAGTGGTCCTGGGGGGGGGCTCCCCGCCCCCCACCTGCCCTTCCCCACAGCATCAGGGCCGCCGGTGCACTCGACAGCTAGGGCTTTATTGGCGCGGTCAACACTTGGCTGAGGTGGTTTTCCACCTTCCTCTCCAAGGGGTTTGGGGCTGGTGGCATTTGCCACCCTAGTGGGTCTGAGGGACAAGGGGAAGGGGCAGGGAAGGGGCATCGCTGGACCCTCCAGCCAGCCCCACGCTGGGCCAGGCCTGGGGCTAAGGCACCATCTTCCACCACTTGAAGTCAAAAGGCACCCGGCGGACATTGGCACACGGGCAGAAGTCCCCGACCTCAGTGAGGTAACAGTCGAAGTCGTCGATGAAGGTGCACGCGAGGCCCAGGGGCTCCAGCAGCTGGCGCACCTTCTCCTGCAGGCAGCAGATGCCCTTGATTTGGGGCCCAAAGGGCTTGGGGATCCCCAGGTTCATGTCCATCACGATCATGCACAGCTGTTGGAAAGAGGGGTCAGCAGGATGAGCGCCTCGGAGAAGGGCCCCGCCCCCAGGCAGGGATGGGGCAGCCCTCAGCGGCTGCGCTAGAGCAGGCTGGCAGGACTATGCCCTGCTCCCAGGCCTGTGCCCACGGAGCCTTCGCCTGTCAACCTCAGGGACATCTCCCCCTTTCCACTTGGGCTTCCAGGGGCCCCGCTGTGTTTCTCAGTAGCAAGACCCGAGTTCTGCCTGGCCAGCATCAGCCAGGCCAGCTCCCCGCTCTCCTGCATTCCGACTCCGACCTTTTAATCTGGGCTGTGCTCGGTTCCTGCTGCCCCTGCTAGAACTCTCCCCACGCCCAGCCTGCCTGTCCACATCTGTCCACCTCTCCCACCTCAGCCCGCTCCTAGGGTTACATCAGACCCCGTTTCAGACGCTACCAAGTGTGGGGACTGCATCCCCGTGGCACAGGCTGGATAGAGCAGGAGCCTCCTGTGACCGTCCCCACCCCTGACGCCTCACCGCAGTTGTACTCCAGGAACAGAATGTTCCGATACTTCCAGGTGGCTGCTGCTCTGGACCCTGGGGACCCAGGACAGGAAGACCCTGCCCTAGCGCATCTTGCCCAAGGGCTGTCAAGGGACCTTCTAGGGTTTGTCACTTCAGGTTGGGGAGGAAGCAGCTGAGGCCCAGGCAGCTCGTAGCCCAGAGCGTGACTGCTCACACGTGCCACAGCCTTTAGGCCCAGGTCACCGTCCTGGGACCGGGTTTCTGCCCCATCTCGCCTCGTGGACACCACTGTTTGCTGTGCCCCGACCCCCGCAGCCCCTGCAGCCCAGCACCGGGTCTGGTAAGGCACCACAGCACGGGCCAGACAGGCCCTCCGTGACAGGATGCCCAGGTGCCCCCGTGCCCCCGTGGCCCTCACCATGTTGGGGAAATAAGCCCTGGCGAGGAGTTTCGGGGTCTGCTGCTCAGAGGGGATGTTTGTCAGCCGCTCCAGGCAGAAGAGCTGGGGGACGTCGATGATGTCCTTCTCCCCCAGGCCCAGCTCCCTCTTCAGGATGGCTCTGTTCAGGTCGATGCACCTCTGGGGGGAGGGCCGAGACGTGAGCACCCCAGGACCCGGATGCCCACCTCCTCCTGTGCCAGAGCAGGAGCACGGCCTAAGGCACTGCCGTCTTCTTCTGATCAAGGAGGGGCAGGGCTCAGAAAAGGCCTGGGCTCAAGAGGCCAGGCTTGCACGGATAGTCAGAGCTGGGACAGCTACTTGTGCTCCACCATGTCACACGGCACCCTTGTCACTCAGCCCTGCCCGGGGGGGGGGGGGGGGACTTGGGCAATGCAGAGGGCAAGCGGGGGACCCCAGGAGCTCTGCTCTTCCTGCTTCAGGAAGGGCCCTGAGCAGCCGCCCCCACCTGGGCACTTCCCTGCTTGAACCAGCTGAAGCCTGGGCATGGCCCAGGTCACCGTCCTGGGACGGTGACATAGGGCTCAGCTTCCCTCCTAGAAATGGGATAACCTCCTCGGGGACTGGGTATCTGGTAGCCAGTAGTTCATACTCCTGACAGCCGAGGCCACGCAGAGGAGTGGGCGCGGCCTCCGCCTGCTCCCTGGGAAACAGCAGCGGCTTGGGAGCAGAGCATGACCTTGGGAGGTCCCTGGGGTCAGACCTGGGTGCAGCTCGTCTCTGGCTAGTGCCCTTACTGAGCCCCGTCCTCATGGAGGATGGATGGGTTCTGCTTTCTACGCCCACCCCCAGGAAATTAGGCTCCGCCCACAATGCTTGGGCCACCCAAGGTGCTCAGTGGGAGCCCTCTGGATTGTCAGGGCCTACCCAGCCCAGAGCCCTGACACTGCTGCAGAGTAAGCAGACTGTCACCTGTCCCCACCCGCCATCTTCCCATCCCATCCACCTCCATCCCATCCCTGGGGTCTGAATCTGGGCCATAGCAGGACCTGGAGAGGAGAGGGGCTGGCCACTGGCCCCAGCAGGAGTTGGTCAGGGCCAGTCCCTCTTCGGGAGGGCCCCGCACCTACCTCCACATAGTCATTCTGCCTCCTCAGGCTCTTGTCTGCCAGGAGCTGATTGATGGTCCTGGCCTTCCTTCCTGTGGGAGAGGAGTCAGGAAGGCCGGGAGGTGGGCACAGCCAAGGGGGACATTCTCAGAACAGACTTTGGTGAGTGGCCTGGGTCCTCCCCAGGGACCACCTGAGGGCTGGCCAGAGTCCATGGGCAGGAAGACCCAGGCAGGACTTCATTGCAACAGAAGCCATCCCTGGCTCGAGGGAGGGAGCCCAGCACACGTAAGTGGCTAGCTTCCAGGGGACACCTGTGTGCTCCGAGGCCAGTACAGCCGGCTGCCCTCCACCTGTGACCTTGACCAGGTCTAACCTCAGTCCTCAGTTGTCTAAACTGATGCCCACCCAACCCAGGCATCAGCTCTGAGGTGACAAGGCTTTTGTCATGTGATATGTGGTCATGTGCTATAAATGCCACCTCCTATGTGACTGCGGCCAGGGAAGCCAGTGTTTCTGGTCTTCCCGTGTGGGCCCCATGCCAGCAGCATGCCCATGGTGCGAGGTGTCCTAACGGCAATCCCACCAGCTTGGGCTTCCCTGGGTCCTTTCTATCCGAGATGACCAGGTAAAGGCTGATCACCTCAAAAGGGCACCTGGTGAGGCTCAGCATGGCTCTCTTACCATTGGCGAGAAGCTGGTCTGCTCTGATGTCCTCAAACAGGGTCGCTTCCCCGTAACCCTCCTCCTGTTTCTCCTGGAACAGCTTGTAGCAGGAGCTGGGGCTGGCTATGAGCAACCGGAAGCCCTGGGACCAAGAACGGGGTCAGAAGCTAGCGCCAGCCTCCAGAAGGTGTGGGACCTGGGCTCAGGTGCACATTCTGAGCCCCCCAACACTTTGGGTACTAGAGATCTAACCCAGGGGTGCTCAACCACTGAGCCACAATCCCAGTCCGTTTAATTTTTTTTTTTTTTTGGTACTGGGGAAACTCGGGGGCACTCGACCACTAGCCACATCCCCAGCCCCGTTTTGTATTTTATTTAGAGAGAGGCACTAAGCAAATTGGACCCTCGCTTTTGCTGAGGCTGGCTTTGAACTCATGATCCTCCCCCGTCTCAGCCTCCCAGCCACCGGAATCATCGGTGTGCGCCACCACGTCTGGCTCCCTTTTTTATTTTGAGACGGGGTTTCACCAAGTTGATTAGGGCCTTGCTAGGTTGCCGAGACTGGCCTCAGACTTGCGATCCTCCTGCCTCAGCCTCTTGAGGGGCTGGGGTTATAGGTGTGTGCCACCGTGCCTGGACCAACACACCTTTTTGTCACTCTTGGTATCTATGGGGACGAAGCCCATGAACTCATCCACGTGGCCAGTCATGAGCCAGTCGGAGAAGAGCTCTACCGGTGCCTGGACCTGCTGGGCACAGAGGAAGTCTTGAAGAGTCTTACTCATGGCCCGGCCCTGTGCGCTAGAAGAAAAATGAGAGAACAGTCCTTAAGTGGCATGGCCCAGGGTGGCCGACCCCTGCTCGCCGACAATTGGGCTGCTTTGACCATCTGGTGGTGGTGGCCTGTCCGTAGGGGACGGGCTGGTTAAGAACCCTCTGGTTTGACCACCTCAGGACTGAGCCAGCCGATTCTACATGGGGACCTCCCAATTTTAGACTAGTGGCCACTAAGAAGCCCAACCACGTTCTGTGGAAGAACTTCCTGCGGAGCCGATGGGCTGAGCGAACTTAATTTGCTCCAATTTAAACCCTGGAATTGTAGAACGAACAGTTGTTTTTCTAGTCTCCTCCATGAACCAGCTACCCCGACACCCCGACACCCTCACTGCAGGTTAGGAGACAGGCCAGAGCAGTCAGCCTGCCCAGGGTGTGAATAGTGGGGGGGCCCAGTGAACCCCAGGGCCTCCCCTGGTTTTGAGGCATCTGGCCACCTTCCGGCCTCTTGGCTCACCTGGGGTAAAAGCTGCTGCCAATGAGGACCCTGCCTAAGGGGTACTCCTTCCCGTGGGCTTTGACTGGTGGGGACACCATCAGGTTCCCAATGGAATCCAGGCTGGCCACCCTGTGGTCCTCAGTGCGTCGGATCATATAGCCAATACCAGGGCTCTAGGAGGGGACCGCGCAGGGGACATCAGGAGGGACTGGCGACGAGCCCTCGCCTTAACCTAGACCAACAGGTAGACTCCCACGTACCCTCCCCCAGAGGCCACCTGCACCCCCCCTTGGCGCCCCATTACGCCAGGACAGGTGCCAGGCCTGAGAGGTGGGACTGTAATCAGCTGAACCAAGCCCCTCACCAGCGAGTATTTCATGGGGAAGTCTTCGAGATTGATGGCCCGGGGGGTGTCAAGGATGAAGGAGACCGTCCTGTGGGGACCCTGGGTGTAGCAGAAGGCCATCTCATCCTGGAAGAGACAAAGAGGTCCAGGAATCATTTCATCCTATCTGTCTCTCTCCTGCCCGTGTCCAGCTGGACGGCCACAGCCCCCTGGGTATGGGCCACCTCCGGAGGCGCACAGGAGAACCCCCTTCCTCCCGCTAACTTCTGCTGGACACCAGCTCAGTGCCCTTCTGGAGGCTTTCCCTGCCACGTTCTGCTCTTCCAGTTCAGAGCGCAGCCGTCGGATTCCTCGTCTCTGCCCCCAGCGTCTCCTCCCAGCCCTCGGCAGTGCCTTCCAGCCCCCTCCTCCCGAGACCCGTCCTACACCTCAGCCAGCGTGCTTCCCCCCACCCCGAAGTTCTGGGGACTGAACCCAGCCGTGCTCTGCACTGAGCCACACCCCCAGCCCTTACTCATATTGAGATGGGGGCCTCGCCTTGGACTTGACCCTGCTACCTCAGCCTCCCAAGTCACTGGGAGCACGGGTACGTGCTCCTGCGCCTGGCTTGACTGGGGTCTGAGACACAATCAGCCTTTCACCTCATTCAGACCTTCCAACGCCCCCGTCTGACTCTGCATTTGGTTCTGTTCTCTACCCAAGTCCCTGGTGCAGAGCGGAGCCGGAGGTCAGCAAGAGCTCCTCCAGGTGGTGACCACCCAGCCCCACAAGTACACCCCCGGTCAGGCTGCACCTCAGCCCCTCCTCTGCCCGCAGGGCCAGCTCCTCGACTCTGAGCTTCATTTCAGGGTCTCCCGACTACCTAAGCTGGCCGATTTGAGCTAGGAACTGGCTCGTTCCCAGCTTTAGTGTTCAAGCCTTGCTGGCGCAGGGTGGTGGCGGGGTCGGTCCCGTCACGTCCCATCTCTGGACTTGGGGTGGTTCACCCAGCACGTGGCGGTTCCTGGAGTGTGTGGAGTGGAATGATGTCCAGAACCAAAGCCAAGCCGGCCCTGGCCCTGCTGCTGTGCCAGGTCGGGTCCACCTGGACCCAGGCCCTGAGCGGAGGGCACCAGAACCCTCAGGCACCTGGGGGTCGGGTGGCCTGTGCTCCGCAGTGAGAGGAGGCGGGATGCCAGCTCCACCCCTTAGCAGCTCTGGCTTGGGCACAGTGGGCACAGCCCTCCCCCCCAGTGCTGCTGAGGCGCTACCCGCTTCCCCAGGCGGGGCGTACCTGGAGCCATCTGCCTAGGCGGTTGGGGTCCTCGTAGACAGGGGCCACCTGGCTGTCACTCTTGTCACTCAGCTCCGTCACAGCGTTCACAAAGCCCTGGAGCTGCAGCTCTCTGCCACAGGAGAGAAGCTGGTTCTGGAAGTCCTTTGAGGCTCTGACCCAGGGAGGGGGAGAGGGCCTCCTGCCCATGAAGCCAACAGGACCAGCAACACAGGCTGCTAAGCTCAGGGCCACCCCTGCCCAGGACACGCCAGTGGCAGCTGCTGCCCCATGTCTGCCCCGAGGTCCTACTCCACACGTGCCCTCCCGTCCCTGCCTGGGGCTTCCCAGCTCAGTCCACACAAAGTATCGGCCCACGCCGCTTTCCCCACGGGGGCTGCACGTTTCCCCAAGAAGCTGGGTGGTGGCCTTGATGGCCAGTGAGGTCGTCCTGTGTGTGGGAATTCAACCCTGGGATCTCGGCGCCATCGAGCCCAGCACAAGGCTCATGGGTCCACGGCAGACACCCTTCCTTGGAGGACAGTGACGGCCGAGGTTGGCATCAAGACCGTCTTAGATACAACGGTTAGAGCATCTGCAAAGTCACGAATTCCAGTGACAAGAGGCAAGCAGGCCACCTCCCTTCATGGCGTCCAGTGAGAGAAAGCCGGTTTTCAGCAGCTGTGTTGGGGTCTGGTGCACCCCAAGGCTCTGCCGGCTGTCCCTGTCCTTCCCCTTACCTGTTCTCTCCTGGCTCCTGGGACCACTTCACTGTCCCTAGAACATGTTTGTCCCTACCTGTCCTTTCCTTGACAGCATTCAACAGCACCTGAAATCACGTTGCCTGGCCCGTCCCCCAAATCAGGGGGGCGGACTCCCTTGTACACTGCTGTGCCCTAACCTTGGGGACAGATACCCATGGTGACCATCTGTAGGACGAGCGCTCACGTACAAGGGGTCACTCCAGCAGAGCCATCTTGCCATCTTTACCCTGCATACACAGGGGCTCTGGTTATAAGGGTGCCAGCCAGGCAGCCCTGGGCCCTTACCTGCACAGGTAGACCTCCAGGGGCATCTGGGTGCTGGGGGTGAAGATGCAGGGAGCCACCCGGAACACGACGGTGTCTTTGTATATCGGGATCTCAGGAATCAACTGCAACACAAGATGGGGGTCCAGGTGCCCGCCAGGTTCCAGGTCTCGGCCTTCCCCTCCCAGTCTGACCCCTAGCTTGTCACAGGGCCCCCGCCTCCCACTTTCCCCAGGGGCCCCAGCTCTACTGCCACGCCACGGCGCCTCCTGGGTCTTCTGTCTCCACGTGGCCCAGCCCAGGGGCTCCTGTCTACCGGTAGCATACCAGGTCTTGGGACTCTTCCACCAGGGAGACAGAGAAGGAAATGAGGCCCGAGAAGCTGGCAGACGGGAACTCTGTGGCTTCTACGTAGAAGGTCTCCTTCTGGAAATTCTCCAGGGGGCCCAGGGCATGGCAGTGCCAGCCAAGCCCCAGCACCAGCTGATAGGCACAGGAGTCTTCTGAGAGAGACAAGGGGTGGCCATCATTGGAGTAGCCTGGCGCTGTCACATCTGAGAGCCTAGGGTACCTGCTCACTCCAGGAGGGTGGGGGGGGCAGCAGGCTTGTCCATCCCCTCTTTAGGGCTTCAGGTCAGGGACAGCCCGTGTTCTTAGGACGGTTATGCACCCATGCCCTTGGAAGACCTCGGATGTGGCAGGAACTGGGAACTCGGGTGAAGATACCTGCCCTCAAGATATTCAGTTCAGGGGCAAAGACTCAGCAGGTGCACCCACACTTGGACCCAGGGATCCAACTTCAGCTAGAACATCACCCAAAGTCCCCGGGGCCTGCTGTCACGTGCACCGATAACGCAGTAGTAAGGATCTTATCGGCAGGAGACTGGGTGCAAGTGTAGGTGGCAGCCGCACAGAGGGTCAGACGGCAACGTGGGAGGGTCAGCGAGCAGCACACCTCTGGGTGGGGTGGACTGCATCTCCAGGTTCTGGCGGCCACCCACGCAAAGCCCGCTTCCTTCTAGTTTAAGGTCGTTAAGAGTGAAACCACAGCGGAGACCCAAAGGCAGGGGACAACACGCTGGGGTTGCTTCGAGTCAGCTGGATGCCAACGTCTTCGTCCTCTAGCAGATGACCCCGAGCCAAGGCCCCTTTGCTCCCCCACCTGACTCCTCTCGGGCTCACTGTAACCCACTGTCATGTGGCAGATGTGGTCCCGTTGATGACCGTTCCCGGGTCAAGCCCCTGGGTGTATATCTCTAGGGGATCCCACCTGGACTTACCTTGGCCATGGTGCCCTCCTGGGGTCTCCTGCACCCCCATACCAGCTGCCCTGGTCTCTGGCTCCTTCAGAGCGTGTGTTAGTGGCCGCTGCTAGGCCTGGCATCCCAGGTCAGGTGCTGCCCTGGTTCCCTGGCCTCCTGTCTGGTAGCGGCCACCGTGCCTTTCAACAGGCCCTGTAGGTCCGCGGCAGGACCCTCCCAGCAGCCAGGTGCCATCTGGAGGCCCGGCCTCAAGCCTCCTGCTGCTGGCCTCGAGGACGCTGGGCAGCCCTCCTGGGCAGATTCCTGCTTCTAGTCTGTCCGGCTTGACCAGCACTGGGCAAGCTGGACAGGGGAGCCATCCCCCAGGAGCCCCACAACCCCCCGACACAGCCTCAGCCCTCATGGCTGCCACAGAGCCTGCTGCAGAGTCCCCAATGCCACCACTCAGCCAACTACTGCTGCAGAGCCGAAGCCTTCTCCTGCCAAGGACCCGGTTTCCCTGTGGCTGTGCCTCCGGGGGTGCAATTTGCTACAAGATAGGGAAATGAGGGGGCCACCCCTTGCCACACAGCCCCTACGGGAGGCGTCAGTCCTGTGCCTGGCTCACCCGGGGCCTTCTGTCACCTCCAGCCGTTTAAGCAGAGTTAACATTCCAAGCAGGCTGGGGGGGGGGCAACTCAACGTTAGAGGGTTTGCTTAACATGCAGGGGGCCTGGGGTCCAGCCCCAGCACCACAAAACACTGCCCACATGCCAAGAGTGTGACCAGTTGCTGGCCGACAGGCTCCTTGGTGGCCTCACCGTCCTTTGGGGCAGGTGTTCATCATCCCTTTTCAGCAGGCCCAGCAGAGCCACACTCCTTGTGGGCCAGACACCTGTCATCTCATCTAGAAGCCCTTCCTGGCCTCAGCTCTTGCAGCATGGTGCTTAGCTCTCCGTCTCCCTGTCACCCTAGATCCCAGCTGGCTTCATTCCGGCCCTTCCCCCATCCCTGGCTGTCCCTCTGCCCAACCGGCTTTCGGAGCTGGATCTCAGGGCACAGGTGGTCTCAGCTCCCCAGCACCCATGCAGCACTGGTGATTGGACCGTGGGTGCTCTTCCCACTGAGCCACACCACCAGCCTTCCCCCACCTGAGATAGGGGGTCACTAAGTTGCTGAGGCTAGACTCGGACTTGCAATCCTCCTGCCTCAGCCTGAATTGCTGGGATCACAGGTGTGCGCTATGGGGCCTGTTCTGTTGACCGGCCACGGACTGCCAGGCCTGGAGCTGGGTGGGTAGCCTCTTCCCTTGGGCACGTCTAGCCATTTCTCGTTCAAGGTTTCAGTACCTTGAAGCACAGCTAGCAGGCGATGCCACCCACCCACTACAGTTTACCACCTCCTCGTCCTCCCCAGATGGCTCCAGAACCAGCGGCCACTACTATTTCTGCCCTTGGTACTGGACACCATAGACCTGGCCATCCAGACATCTTGGTCTCTTTTTGACCTAATTTCAATGGTCTTGACCTCTACCACCTGAGGTGCCCATGTCAGTGGGCATAGCCCAAGCTACATGCCACCTGCAAGACGATGTGACACCTGGTCTTTTCAGTCAGTCCACTCTCCCCGCCCAGCGCCACACCTTCTCCTGCTGATGCCCACCTTCCACCCTGGCTCCCCCAGAGCCCAGGCCCCCCCCCCTCTCCTCTCACTGCCAACTCCCACGCTTTTAGGGGACTTTTCTGGAAAGGGAAGTAGTGGCCCCGGCTGAGCTCACTCTAGTATCTGAGCAGCTGGAGAAGTCACTACACCGAAAAGTCTCATTTTAGGAGGGGACCAAGCCTCAGAGCAGCCTCGACGCTACCAGGCCACACCCACCCACTCCTGCCGTTACCTCTCCTGCTCCCAAGGCCCGAGCGTCACGGCTCCCGGAGTCCTCTGCTCCCAGGGGACTCCGACCCACCCACTGTGCCGACCTCAGGGTTTCAGACGACCCTCTCTGAACGAGCCCCTCCCCATTTACTCCACGACATCGCTCTCCAAGGAAAGCCCCTCCAGGGGCCATAGTCACCGCCTGCCTGCTCCCACCTGGCTTCCACCCCACCATTTTTATGTTTTGCAGTGTTGGGGACGGAACCCAGGGCCTCCCACGTGCCAGGCACGGGCTCTGCCCGAGAGCTACATCCTCAGTCCTCAGGGTCCCTCGAGGCCACTAATGCTCTACGATTGGCTCTGGCCTCTTAGTCCAGTTGATCATCACCTTCCTCAAAGTCTGGAAGCTGGAGCCTCAGCCCTTTTTATCTTGAGATGGGGTCTCACTGAGTTACCAAGGCTAACCTGCTGCAGAGCCAAGGCCCCTTTGCTCCCCCAAAGCAAAGTCGAGGACAGACTAAACCGACCCAGTGAGGACAGTCAGAACTTGTACTTCTCCCACTAAGCCTCGGAGTCACGGGGTTACAGGCACCTCCACAGCCGCTCCCTGTCTAGATTCTCCAATTAGCATTTTGAGCAAGAAGAAATAGGCGGCTCCGACCCATGTGATAAGCAGGCTACACGAGTCAGGGTCCCCCGAGTGGCCTCTACTTGGCATGGCCTAGTCATCTCCCAGCTGTGCATAGTTGGTGGCCTCACAGGGCCTGTGTTAGCCCCCGTGGCTGGAACCAGACCCACACCTTCAGGTTTCTAAGGCTCACTGTAGCCAAGGCGCAGAGGGGCCCCCCCAGCCCGGGCTGCTTTTCTAGCGGGTCCCAGGTCACCGAGTCCAGCTGTGCACTCCGGCCTGCGGAGGCACTGGAGCCCAGGCCCCAGGGAAGAGGTGAGGCTGCTCTCCAACACCAGCCAGAGCTGGTCCCCTCCGAGGATGACCAGGTCACATACCACAGGGACCCACCTGCCTGCTGAAGCTAACCGTGGCTTTAAAGGAAGGTGCATGTGGCCTGTACCTCCAGAGCCACAGCTCCATCTCCATTGGAGAACAGACCAACCAACCCAGTAAGCAGAGTCAGACCCAGTCGAGGGTCCTCTTGCTGGAGCTGGACATGTCCAGCAGCTAAGCCAGCAGCCCCCAGCCCCTTCTCCACAGGATGGGGCATGCTACCCGCCTCCCAGGGAGGGGACAGCGGATGGCATGTTGGTTGGGATGTGGGTGCCTTTTAACTACCACTCTGGCTTCTTGGCCTCTGAATTCTGCAACTGTGATACATTGGGGTCTGGGTTAAGGATTCTGGCAGGAGTCACGGGGGGAAATGTTCTCCAGCCCGTGTAAGGCGATGGCCCTCCCACCAGCTGAGCCGCATTTCTTCTCTCCTGGCTATGAGGATCCTGCACAATAGGTGACGTCACCCCATTTTACAGGTGGGACAAGTAGCTCGGGGCTGCCTAACTCATCCAGGTGAGTCAACTTGTTCTGTTGTGAACATGGCACCCGGAGAATCCCAGGGACACCAGCTAGACCAAGCAGCCACTCTAGGTCTCCGTCCGGCAGGGCTCTCCAGGGACCGGGCTGGAGGCGTGTGCACGGCTCACCCCAGCACGCACAGAGAGTGGCAGAGTAAGATCCCATGCAAGACACTCACTCTGGGGCCTGTAGACCCTCGTCTTCTCCGCCTCTTCCTTGGAGGTGTGGAGGACCAGCTTGTAGTTCTTCAAGATGCAGCTGGGGCCTTGGACGGTCAGACTCATCTGTGACAGCTTCCTTATTTCTGGACAAGAGACAAGACAAAGGTTCAGGCCAGCACTACAGGGATGGAGAAGCAGGGATGGGGGCTTGTGTGGAGAAGCCCTGGGGACCCGCTGCCTCCTGCCGGGCAGCAGGCCACCCGAGCCGGTACCCTGACTATGCTGCTTGCTTCCTGCCTGGCCATCAGCAGGTAACCAACCCCTGGCACACTATTAAGAATTGCGTTTACCCCACGTGGTCCCCAAACCTGGGGAATGGGGCCCGGCATGGTCAGTCGGGCAAGGACTCGTGTCCAGCTTCCGTGTGAACCACGGTGTCCGTTTCCACCTCTGATCTGGAAGCCTGGTCCCAACAAGGCAGGATGAGACCCAAGTCTGCCTTTGCCTCCGATGGGCGGTGCTCCGGGCCCAGGCTCTAGGAGGCCTGTGAGCAAGAAGCTTCCGCACCCCTTTTACGCCTTAAATCTTCCTGGCCACCTTGTGAGGCCAGCTGGACATCCCCACGCCACAGATGGCTAAACAAGATCAGGGAAGTGGCATCGACACCTGTGTCCTCCCCAGGGGATCCCAAGGCCTCCTCCTGCTCAACCCAGATTCTAGGTTCTCTGCGTTTGGTGCTGGGATGGAGCAGGCCAGACGACGCTCCCCCAGAGCCGCGCCCCAGCCATGGCAAAGACCACCCAGAGTGGGGACATCAGCACAGAATCTCCATTTGTTAAGGGACAGCAGGGCCAGAGGAGGATGATGGTGGCGGTGGCAGTCATACCATCTGAGAACACCTTGGACTTGTCCGTGATCTGGCTCACGTCGGCGGGGCCGCAGTTCACGAGCAGGATGGCTCCCCATCCGTTGGGGCCCCAGACCCATTTTTTCTGGGAACACAGAAATGCCAGCTCAGGAGGCCGCCTCATAAGACCCTCTGCTTCTCAGAGGCCCCCGGCCATCAGTGGGCAGAGCCCGGCCTTCCTCCAGGGTCCTGGGGACCTCTGGGGCAGTGCGAGGAAGAGCACCTGCCGGAGCAGAGAGGCAACAGGACAAGTGGACCCAGAGGGAGGGACAAGTGGACCCAGAGGGAGGCGCTAGCTAGTGACAGGTATTGGTCACAAGTCCCCTCTTTTCAGTTTCAGGGGAAGGAGGCACAGAGGCAAATTGATGGTGGCAGCTAGCCTTGGTCTAGTTGACCACGCAACCTGGCTGGGCAGCAAGCCTCAGGGTGGAGGACTTTTTTGGGGGGCAGGTACCAGGGACTGAACTTGGGGGCACTAACCTCGGAGCCCCAGCCCCAGCCCTTGGTTTTGAATAGACTAGAAACTATCAGTTCTGACTTTAGTGGGGCCATCTGACTCTTTGTGGATGTTCAAGGTCACATAAAGTGGCCCTGGAGGCCAGACCTGGCTCAGGGGCCCTTGTCCCAACCAGCCTCACCTTAGCCTGCTTGTCACTCGGCACTTCAAGTTGTCCGTCACGATAGATGTCCGCCTCCAGGTTCACCTCTGCAAGGCAAGGGAGGGGTCTCGGCTCAGGGCTGGTTCTGGGGCTGTCCAGCCCCCCCCACAGCATGCAGGAGCAGAAGGGTCCTCCGTGGAGGGCTGCTTCTCAGGAGCCCAAGCCCTCACGCGTCTCCCTGGCTCCTGGAAACTCTCAAAGCCAGCCCACCAGTCAAGGTACCTTGTCGTCCCTCTTGGCTCCTACCCAGGGGATTCCCACTTGGAAGGCACATGGAACCTCCCTCCCCTTCTGGAAAGATCTCTGCACTCTAACAGGGCTCAGTGCACAATCCTAAGCCCCTTGAGAACTTCAGATCTGCCTCTCACCCCTTCCCACACTGCTGGCCACCCTGTGGCTTTAACAGCTCCGTCCCTATATTTTGTACTCCGAAATGCTGTTTCTCAGCTGGAGCGTCAGGGCCACAGGCAGGGGGCTTGCTGCGGCTCCGTCCTCTGCCCACACGTGCTCGAGGACTAAATGCCTGCGCCAAACTCGACTGTCCTGGGGACACAGCATGCAGGACAGAGGCCTGTCTTCTTGGAACTTGGTGTACAGCTGGCGCAGAGCACAGACACCTCCTAAATCCAATGGTGACACGTGCCACGGGAACAGCAGGGGGCAGGGACAAGAGAAGCTCAGTTTGAGGTGTCAGGGGACACTTCTAACTTTATGAGACCAGAAGGAGGCGAGAAAAGGATCCTGTTATCTGGGGTAAAGCCATTAGAGGGAATAGGAAGTAAGTTCAAGGTGGCAAGTGCAAGGGTCAAGGACGCCAACGTGCCTACCACAGGTTGGGCAGGGGAAGAGTGAGAAGCCATAGGGTCAGAGGTGGCTTCGGGCCACCCACGGAGGTTTGGGGGCCCTAAACAGCCTTTGATCTGAGTAGCACGGAACCATCTTGAAGCCTGGAACTGAGAGGACATCGTCCGACATCCCCTTAAAGATGTGCCGCTCTGTCTAGATCAAGACTAGACCCAAAGAAGGGCAAGAGTGAAAGCAGGAAGCCCCCTGGAGACCCGGGCAGGGGGCCGGGTCAGAGAGGAGGGTGGCCTGGGCCAGCGTGAGAACTCGGGAAGGGGAGAGTTGCTGGCTTCCAGCCACACTTAGGGGACACCACCGAGACTCAGATTGACTCAGGCGAGGAAGGGTAAGGGTTACCAAGGTTACCGGCCTGAACAGCCGGAAGGGGCAGCTACCACCCACTGCGGGGTGCACTAGGAACAGATTTGGGGAATAGAGGAAGGAAGAAAAATCCATTTAGTTCGGGCTCCATTAAGTTAGACACCCAAGAAGCTGCTGGGTAGATCACCTCCAAGCGGAGTTTGGGAGAAGCCAGGCTCGAGCCAGTGTTGACAGTGGTCTACGCGTTGGAGCCCAGGGCTCTCCAGTGGGCAGCTGGAGGGGTGAGGGGCTGAGCCAGGGGGCCCAAAAAGGAACCGGTAGGGGGAAGACCAGGGGTGGGGTCGCCGAGAGGGGTCAGGAGGAGGATAAGCTGCTGTATTGACTGCGGCCACCAGGTCAGGGCAGAGGAAGGTGGACCTGACCAGATGGAGCGAAGTTGTTAGTCTCACTTGGGCAGCGGTAGAGGCCTGGTTTTGAACAGATTCAAGAAAAAGGGGGGAGAAATTAAGGACCCGTTGACGGTTCCCAAGGAGCCCAATGCTGGCGGGGTGGAGTGGCAAGTTACCAGAACCCAATCTGAGAGCGTAGAGGGAGAGTTTGCCCCTGGGCTGATGGGGACGAACACCCCGGAGGGAGAGGCACCCTCCACTTCAGTGAGGATTGCTGATGGAATGTTCTGGAATGGAGGAAGGGACCCAGTGAGACAAGATAGATCAACTCTGGGCCAGACACGTCAATGGTAGCAGGGGAAGAAAGCAGGAGCCAGACGCGAGTAGGTGGGCAGATGACAGTAGCACGTAGCAATTCTGGTTGCTTCTATTCTCGGAAGACTTGGTCATCAGTGAGGGAAGACGGGGGAGAGCTGAATCCCTTCCCGACCGACCCGAGGGCATCTCAGTGCGGGAGGCCCCTCTCGGCTCTGCCCACACCTGCTTTCTGGGGGTGGGCTGGGCCCGGGGCTCCCGTGGGAGGAACTCACCGATGCCAGTGAGGTACAACAGAGCCGTGGCCATGGGGACCTCTTCGTTGGGATGATAGTAAGAGACCAGCACCTGGGGAGACAGCACCCAGGAGCCATGGGAGCACTGAGGACAGGAGCCGAGCCCTCCACCACGGACCAGACCCAGTCGAGGATTCGACCTTGGCCCCAGGGCTTGGATTCTCAGCCTCCAGCACCTGGCTGTGAGCTGGCCCAGGGCCAGAGCCCCTCCAGCCGTTTCTGCACCCAGGCTCACGTCCACCATCCAGGTGGGCCCCAAACCCACGGACAGCGGGATGAGACCTACTGTAGCACTGGGCAGAGGGAACAGCAGAGGTCCAGGCTGCCCGGCACAGAGCCCAACACTAGGCCCCGCCCCCCAGGGTCCCTCCCATTATGCCATGAGGTGGGCAGCAGCCAGCGTTGACTGCAGTGGCTCAGCTGACCACTCGAGAGGCCGCAGAGACCCCGGGCCACAGTGGGAATCAGAACTCCATGTGTCCCGTGTCTCGTAGCCTCTGCTTCCAGAGGGACATTTACACTTTAGACACCAGCCCTCTAACCCCAGAAGTGAGGCCATCCCCTGAACCAGGGACCCAACCATCAGAGCCACGTGACCCACTCCTGTTCCCCAACGGCAGGGCCAGTCCCAAGGCCAAGCATTTCTCTGCTGCCCACTCCTGATGGGGCTAGAGGCCGAGCTCTGGGCAGAGAGTGGCTTTCAGGTGGGGTGGGCCCAGCTGGGACGCATGAGGCCTCCGGTGCTAGCCAGGAGGTGCTCGGACATTCTCCTAGGGCATGGCCTGCCGGGCGGGGGGCATAGGTGGGCATCTGCAGCAGGGTCTGGGCTGCGTGACCCCAGGCCTGGGCCACTTCAAGGGCCTCTTCCTAGCTCCGCACTGGGATCAGCTGGGCCCTGGGTCTCGAGGCCGTCTCCACCCAACTGAACTGGGGGGTGTGGCCTGGTGTGGGGTGCTCCCTGCAGAGGGGCTGAGACCCCTGCCACGGGGCACCACGCCCTCCCGGTGCCCATGCGTGTTTTATGAGGCAGGGGTGGACCTCCCCAGCAGGGAGATGGCTTGTGGGGGACAATACATGAACTTGAGCTCAAATCTGGATCTACCCCACCCTAGTCGTGCTATTGACATCAGGTGCGCCCCCTCCGCCAGCTTCAGTTTCCTCACCTGCCGCAGCAGCCCCCTCCGGTTAAGATCAGGTGTGCGCGGCGCGGGCGCCACCAACTTCAGGCATCAGGGTGCTCAGCTCCCAGGGGGACAGCCCAGGGGTTGTGTAGGCCCACCCCTGGACGCTGCCCCAGGCTCACCTTGTCCTCGTCCACGGACACGCTGGGCGATACCATCCTCACCAGCACGTGCGAGGTATCCAACAGCGACCGGCAGATCACAGCGTCCTCCTTCCCCGAAATCACTGTGCCCGCCACGTCCACCAAGACCCTCGGAGAGGCGCGGACGGTGAAGCTCTCGCAGTTCTTGGGGGCACACCTGGTGGGCCCAACAGGGCGACAGACGTTAGGACGAGAGAGACCCCGTCTCAGCCAAAAGGCAGCAGGCGCGGTGGGGCGGCCCCCGGGCCCTCCGTCCTGGAGGTATTGGGCCAGGCCCTGCGTCAGGGCAGCGTCAGGGTCTTCTGACCCGCCCTGTTATCCTCCCTTCTCTGACGAGCAGCGCCCAGACCCCACCGGCCCACTGACGCCCACTGACGCCCTGGAGCTATCAAACTAGGCTTTATTTATAAGTCCCAAGGGGGAAGGACGTTTGTTTGAACCCAAGGGATCCCCAGAGGGGAAGGGACAGGGCGTGGGAAGACCACGGGCTGGGCTGCAAGGAGCCACCTCCCCACCGAGGCTCCCTCGCCTACGGCTCATGGCCACCTTAAGGGACAGCCAGCCACTAGCAGCCAGAGGCTGACAGGGAGGGCCTCTAGAGACCCCGAGTCCTTGACCTCGAGGTGAGGCAGGACTAGACAGGGAATCCACCCCTGACCCCTGGCCAGGCCACCTCAGCTCCTGCGGAGGCCTGGCCGCCTCACCTACTGATGTCCAGGCTGATCTCCGTGCCCAGCACACAAATGGCATGGGCAGGGATGTCCAGGGACAGGTGGACAGTGCTCTGGAAGGCAATGGCACGGCACTCCATGCTGACCACCCTCAGGCCCACACGGCGACCACCCCTCAGCCCAGTGGTCGCAGGTGCTCGCCCGGCCCTCCCCTGTTGTGGGCTCTGGCCTCTCCAGCCCGCCTCCTTGTTAAGGGGTGGGGAGGCCTCCGAGGCAGGCCAGGTGTCACCGGTTTCTCTCCTGAGGCTTCCCGGAGGCTGAGGGCTGCCAAGGGGCAGGTGGTGAAGGCCCTTCATCACTCCTACATGAGCAACCCGTGCCTGTGGGCGCTGCGGGCCCCGGGAGGAGGCGGCTGGGTGCTTAGCAATCTGGCCTTCAGCTGGAAAAAAGGGGGCTGGGGGGGCTGGAGCCTGCAGGACCCAGAGGGCAGTTAGGATGGCCGCATGCTCTGGGTACTGGCTCTAGTGGGCGTCTTTCCTGGAAATTGATGAGGGGAGCTTGGTGACTTCCTGTATTGGTGTAGCTCAAGGTCATGGTGGGGGCAGACCCGACCTATCATCTAAGCTGTTTCAACTCCTGCCTGGCAGGGGTTGGGTGTGGTCGATCCCTGATTAAGGTGAGCTATGCCACCGGCCACTAGGGTGGGGCACGTGTTGTGGACCAAGCGAGTGTCAGGGCAGGGTGGGGTGGGGTGGTGGTGGCCAGCCGCTGTTCATCAGCCACAGTGAAACACTAGAGTGATTCTTACGATGCATATTTCAACATTGCTAAAATAGATTCTTAATGTTCTCATCAGGAAAAATGACAAATTTGTGAGGTGCAAGCAGTGTAGTCAGTTTGACTGACATTCTGTAACGTATACGTAGGTGAAGCATCCAGTTTGCTCCAATCAAGATGATCTGTCCCTTAAAGGAAGGGTACCCAGCTAATTTCAAAACAAGGTTCACTTTATGTCTTAAGTTTGGGATATGCTTGTGCTTGTGCTTGTGCTTGTGCGTGTGTGCGTGTGTGTGTGAGTGTGTGTGTGTGTGAGTGAGCGTGTGCTGGGGATTGAACCGGGCGGCTGGGCTCTACCGCTGAGCCACGACCCCAACCCCTGACCTCAGTTTGATCCAGCTAAACCCTCCCCATTTCCCAGGAGGGTCTTAGCCTCCTCCCGGCCACTTCGGGCTTCTTCCTTTTCTCACTGTCTGCTGGACAAGGTGAAATGATGGCCACAAAGACACCCCATTGTCAAGGGCCGGGGCGTAGCTCAGGGGTGGGGCGCTCGCCTAGGGTGCACGAGGCTCCGGGTTCCATGCCCAGCGCCGAGAAAACAAAGAGATCAGGTTGGCATGTCCACGGCCCCGCTGTGCCCGGGCACTGGGGTGGGTTGCCACAGGCCAAAGAAGGAGCCCTGAGACAGAATGGGGGACGTGACTTGTTAGGAAAAGTGTGACAAGAGGTCAGTAGCTGTCCAGGAAGCGTTCGGTGGTGACAGGCTGACGAGGTCTCTGTCCCCCAAGGTGCTTCTCTAAGCAGCACTGCCTGCCCCTCCTTCACGGTGTTTTCTTTCTTTTGGGGCCCCAGGGAGTGAACTCGGGGCACTCGCCCACTGAGCCACATCCCCAGCCCTATTTTATTTTATTTTTTTTGTATTTTATTCAGAGACGAGGTCTCTAAATATAATGAGTTGCTTAGGGCCTCGCCGTTTCTGAGGCTGGCTTTGGACTCCCGATCCTCCTGCCTCAGCCTCGCAAGCTACTGCGACTACAGGCCTGCACCCCGGCGCCCGGCTCGCTCATGGTGGTTTGCTCAGTGGTGTCCGGCTAAATGAGGGACCCAGCTGCTGGCCTGCTCTCACTCAGAGAGGGTCCGTACCTTAGGCTGCAGAAGCAGTGATGTCGTCAGCATGATCTTGGGTGACCAGCACCCCAAGGAGCGACTGTCCTGATAGTTCTGCACAGACAACAGACGGCCCCTGGCTCCCCGCGCGCCTACGAGGAAGCCACGGCCTTCAGGATAATCCGTGTCTGGACGGTCCAGCCCAGGCTTCCCTCACTGTTCTTAACTTGGATTTGGGGGAACAGATAGGAGGCCTTCGGGGACATGGCGTTTTGCTGCCCCCCCTTTCTTTTGGGAAGCTACAGGCCCTCATCCTCAAATCGAGTCGACCTACAAAAATGTCCGGTCTGACTGCCTGGAAACTACGATTAGGCAAAGTCTTTGCAAAGGTTACATTGAGGCTCCTGAGATGAACTGGAACCCTCGGGATGGACCCAGGTGTCACCACAAATGTCCACGTAAGGGAGAGGCGAAGGCAGCTCCGACACAGCAAATGTCCCCACCGAGGCAGAGACAGGAGTGAAGCAGCCCCAGAAACTGGAAGAGGCAGGGGACAGACCCCCCGGAGCCTTTGAGGAAGGCTCGGCTCTGCTGCCACCTGGGTTTCGGCCCAGGGAAGCTGACTTGGGCCCCTGGGCTCTAGATCTCTGAGGGAGTCCATCTGGGCCGTTCTAAGTCCCCTCCTCGGTGGTAATGAGTCACAGCTGCCCCGGGGCACGTCCGCGTGGTCTCTGGGGAGGGCGACGGGGAGTGAGGCCCAGTCAGCAGGGAGGTCTCCCTTGAGGGGGTAAAGGGAAAATCAGAGGCGACAGAGTAAGAGTGTCCCGGAGAAGCCCCAGAGAGGCCCCGCGTCCCAGCCGTGGGCAGCAGAGGCAAGAGCTGGTCGGGACAATGCAGAAGCAAAAGGAAGACATTATTCGATGGTTTGCAGTGAGCAAATCGCCCTTTTGAGGTCCCTGCTTGGAAAGCCCCGCGTCACCCAGTCATAGATTGGCTGCTTGTGATTGGCTGGGGTCAGATTTCAGTTTTGTCTAACAGAAGCATTTATCAGAAGTGACCCAAGTTCCATTCACTTATATCTGCAGATCAAGTGAGACCGAGGTCTGGGGGGGGGGGCTTTTTAGTATTTTACTTAGAGACAGGGTCTCACTGAGTTGCTTAGCACCTCACTAAGTCTCTGAGGTTAGCTTTGAACTTGCAATCCTCTGGCCTCAGCCTCCTGAGCCTCCTGTGCCACTGCATCCGACTTAATTCGGGTTTTATTGATCCCCTTTTCTTGGTGGACGATGGAGGTCTTTGAAGAAAACACTCATTTTTAAAATGGTGTTCAAACAGCCCATATAACAGGATTCACCATTTTTAAGTGTACAGCTCAGTGTGTCAAGTATATTCACATTATTGTGAAATAGATCTCCAGAATTTTTTCATATGGAAAGTCTAAGACTCTATACCCATCCAACAAGGTCTCTCTTCTCCCTCCCCTTCTGCTTTCTGTTTCTGTGAATTTGACAACTACAGATACCTCATCTAAGTGGAATTAAACAGCACTGGTCTTCTTGGGCTGACTTATTTTGCTGAGCATAATATCCTCAAGTTCAATCATGTTGTAGCATGAAACAAGATTTTCTTCTTTTTTAAGGCTGCATAATATTTCAGTGTACTATGTATATGTCACATTTGGCTTATCTGTTCGTCCAATGATGGGCACCGGGGCTGCTTCCACTCTTGGCCATGTGCATAGTGCTGCTATAATCTCTCTCTGAGAACTTGCTTTCAATTTTTTTTGGATATATCCAGAAACAGGATTGCTGCATGTTGGGTTAAAACCAACCAGTGCCTGGGAGAGCTTGCAGCGTTATTCTCTGGAAGAACAAGGCACTGAAGGAAATGGATGGGGGAGCTGGCCAGGCCCTTATCGCCGGTCGGTGAGAAGAATCTGCAGAGTGGCCTTGGATGTCACGGCTGAGGAAAGCCAACTTGGCAGGGGCCAGCATAAAACGTCCAGACCTCTCTGTCGAGCCCGAGCCCTCCAAGATCTTTCTTTAGGATTGGAAAACGGCACACGGACCCTTGCAGCAGGGGTTGGACGCAGCCCATGTGGCAGTTCACTTTCTTCCTATTTTTTTTTTTAATGGTGCTGGGGATCGAACCCAGGGCCTTGTGCATTCGAGGCATGTGCTCTACCCACGGAGCTCTATCCCCAGCCCCGTCTGCCTTTCTTTGGGTGCTGAAGATCAAGCCCAGGGACGCACGACCACTGAGCCGCATCCCCAGCCCTTTTTATTTATTTTGAGACAGGGTCTTGCTAAGTTGCTTAGGTCCCTGTGAGGTTGAGAGGCTGGCCTTGAATTTACAATCCTCCTGTCTCAGCCTCCTGAGTCGCTGGGATTGATTACAGGTGGGGACCCTGTGCCTGGCTATTTCTGATTTTTTGAGGAAGCTCCACACTGTTCTTTATAGCAGGTGTGATTGTTTATAGCGTGTGATTGTTGGCTATTTGTATGTTACATTTAGAGAAATATCTATTTAAGTCCTTTGCCCATTTAAACATATTTTTTTTTAGTTGTAGATGGGCACATTAGTACCTTTATTTATTATTATGTGGTGCAGAGGATGGACCCCAGGGCCTCACAATGCAAGGCACGTGCTCTACCACTGAGCCCAGCCCCAGCCCCAGCATTTAATTTTATTTATTTAAATTTTTTGGTATCAAACCTTGGACTTGGCCCAATTAGATTTTTTTTTTAGTCATTGAGGTGTAGGAATTCTTCCTATGTTCTATTGGCCTCTTAAGGGATATATAATTTTCAAATATTTTCTTCCCTTTTTCGAGTGGGCGTTAATTACTCCATTGGAGTCTTTTTTTAAAAACCTATTTTATTTCTTGGGTACTGGGGATTGGGCTCAGGGGCCCTCGACCCCTAAGCTCCACCCCCAGCCCTATTTTGCATTTTATTTAGAGAAAGGGTCTCACTGAGTCGCTCAGCACCTCACTTTTGCTGAGGCTAACTTTGAACTTGCGATCCTCCTGCCTCCCTAGTCACTGGGGTTGAGGCATGGGCCACTGTGCCAGGCAACCATTTTATTTACTTATTTATTTTTTTTGGCGTGTCTTTTTAAAATATTTTTTTTTAGTTGTTGATGGACCTTTGTTTTATTCATTTATTTATATGCGGTGCTGAGAATCAAACCCAGGGCAGCTCACACACGTGAGGCAAGTGCTCTACCACGGAGCCGCCACCGCAGCCCTTGGCAT